AAATTAAATAATAATAATAAATTAATTTAAAAAGTTTTAATTTGAAAAAAAGAAATCTAAAAAATGAACAATGATCAATTTAGACAATAATTTTAAGTTGTCTCATTTTAGTATAAGCATCTTGGATTAATTTCATTCTAATTGATTCATCTTCAATAAAAGCAGCTCTAAAAGAGTTCATAATTAATTCAACTATTTGTTCATTTGAGAATCCAAATAAATTAGTAAATAATTCATCTTCACCACTTAAAGAGCAAGAACTAACAGTAGTATTATCTGTATTAATAGTACAAGGAATTCCCAATTCCATTAATTGTAAAATTGGATGATCTTCCATTTTGTTAATAGCTTTAGTTTGGATATTACTAGTTAAACAACATTCAACAACAACTTTGTTTTCAATAACATTTTTAATTGTTTCTTTATTTTCTAATAATCTTACTCCATGTCCTATTCTTTCTGCATGATTTTTAATTGCATCATCAACACTTTCATATCCTGCTGCTTCTCCTGCATGAATAGTAACATGAATTCCATTATCAAAAGCATATTGACATGCTTTTTTATGTTTTGATGGCATAAATCCATTTTCTGGTCCGGCAAGATCAAATCCAACTACATGATCATTTTTAAATTCTACTGCTAATTGTGCTGCTTTTAATGATTCTTCTTCACTTAAATGTCTCATTGCACATACAATTAAACGTACAACAATTCCATACTTTTTTTCTGCTTTTTTTACTCCAGCAATACAGGCTTCCATTACTTTTCTTCATGATAATCCTTTATTTGTACTTTGAATTGGAGCAATCTAAATTCTACATAAGTACACCCATCAAGATATGCATCTTCACAACATTCAAACATAGTACGTTCAATATTAGCTTTTGTTTGTAATACTAAATTAATAATATCAAAAGCTTTTAAATATTGAACAAGTGATTCACAGTCATTAGTCATCATTACTAATTTATTTAATTCATTTAAGTCATATGTTGGTAATTCTATATTTTGTTCTTTGGCTATTTCAATAATAGAACTTGGTCTAATACACCCATCATAATGACGATGTAAATCAGCTTTTGGCATTTGTTTGAATAAATCATGAGTAATAGTTGTGGTCATTATTTGTAATTTGAAATTACTTTATTTTATTCTTTTCCTTTAAGTAGGATTATTTTTGTTTCTTTTTTATTCTTTATTCTTTTAACTGCTAAATATCTCTTTAAATGTTAAATGGAAGAAACTTCCGTTTACTTCGTATACCTAAAAAGAACGTTTAGATTAAATTGATTTGGTTCTAATAAAAAAAGAGAAACTCTTAATACTTCGGTGTCAAATGTTCAGAAGAAAGAAGAAATGAATAGAAGATTTAAACAAAAAAGAAAGAATAATGAAATAAAAGAATCAGTTAAAAAAAAGGAAAAATGAATAAGTTGTAGAAATGAAAGAAGATAATAAAAAGATAGTCATTCACTTGAAGAAGAAGAATCATTAAGTGAACTCATTTCAACATCTTTTTTAAAATTAATAACTACTGGCTTTGTTTGACTTAAACGATTTATATTTCTATTTATTAATCCAAAAGATGAAGGAGAACATGAAACAGATGGACTAAAATGGGATATTTTTGAATTAACTGTTCTGATTTCACGTTGTTTAACAACACAAAATAAAATATCATTTGATTGTAATAAATAATTCTTTTTTGAATATAAGTAATATTTTCCATGTTTTTGTTTTAATATTCCAAGACATTTTGCATTTTTTTCTAACATAAATTCAAAAATTAATTGAAATGGATAATTTACCATT